ATTGTTTGTGATCCAGAGGCTGCACCACGTCCCAAATTCCAATGGAAAAAGGATGGTCAATTGCTGGGCTCCGGTGGACATCGTCGCATTTTGCCCAGCGGCACTCTCATTATATCACCTACATCCCGCGATGACGAGGGCATGTATACGTGCGTAGCCTCCAATCAAGCGGGATCCGATGAGTCGCATGCTCGAGTTATTGTGCTACGTAAGCTTTAATTGTGAATACTAGAAGCACTGCAGTATCTGAACATGCATTCATATATTTTTGCAGAGGAAATTCGCTTTGTGCAGAGGCCACCGCAGCGCATTGTTTCCCGCGAGCATGACCTTATATATCTGCACTGCGAGGCTGCTTACGATGAGCTACTGGACATTGCCTATGTTTGGAAGCATAATGGAGAAGTTTTACGCAATAATCACGACGGCACCGAGCGCATTGTATGTCCTACCTTACTCCAAATCTAAAAATTATAAACTCTATAACTCTATAAATTATTTCGCAGATTGTCGATTGGAACAGCTTGACGGTGCACAACACAACGATGCGCGATTCTGGCGATTATGAGTGCGTCGTCAAATCAGCTGTCAATGAAATTAGCACCACGACAAATGTTATCATTGAGGGCGCTCCTGGTGCTCCAGGCGGGGTGCAGGTGATTGAGATTGGCAAGACCAAGGCCATCATTGAGTGGGTGGATGGCGTAAACAATGGTCGTCCTATACGGTACTACCATATACTTGGCCGCACCAACTGGAATCGCACTTGGACCAACGTTTCCATGTTTCAACAGGCGCGTGAGGTAGATCGTTATACATCTCGCCAGCAGACTGAGGTCGGAGATTTAACGCCCTGGTCCTCCTACGAGTTCAGCGTCACGGCTGTCAATGATCTGGGCATTGGCACACCCTCGGCACCATCGCCCATCTACAGCACCTACGACGATAAACCGTATATTGCCCCACGGAATGTGGGCGGTGGTGGCGGCAAGATTGGCGATCTGACCATTACCTGGGATCCGTTGTTGCCACAGGAGCAACATAGTCATGGCATACATTACAAGGTATTTTGGAAGCTAAAGGGTGCCCTCGATTGGGCCTCGGATATAATAAAGAAACAAGAAAACGTAGGCGTGGCCGTGGTAAACATTCCGCTCAACAACTATTATACCGAGTACGAGGTGAGAGTGCAAGCAATCAACAGCGTTGGCCCGGGTCCCATTAGCGATACGGTTGTCATACACTCTGCCGAAGATATGCCACAAGTGGCGCCACAGAAACCATTTGCGCTGGCCTACAATTCTACCTGTTTCAATGTATCCTGGAGTCCCATTGACATGTCTCGTGAGAATATACGCGGCAAGCTAATAGGCCATAGGGTAAGTAAAAGCTTACAAATTGTGTGGCTGTAGTTTGCTTACCATATACGTTTATTACTTCAGTTAAAATATTGGAAAACTGCGCATCAGGAAGAGGATGCCGTCTACTATTTATCGCGTACCACACGCCCCTGGGCGCTTATTGTAGGTCTGCAGCCGGATACGTATTACTTTGTGAAGGTTATGGCATACAATGCGGCCGGCGAGGGTCCCGAAAGCGAACGTTTCGAAGGTGACGTCAATTTAGCAAAAGTGTTTCGATCCACAAATATTTAACGTATTTATTTTATTTATAACAGAACGCACATATCGCAAGGCACCACAGAAACCGCCGTCTTCAGTGCATGTCTACGGCATAAATCCGTCCACGGTGCGCGTTGTGTGGCGTTATGTATCACCGGCGCAAGATGAGGAGCCCATTGAGGGCTATAAGGTATAAAAAAGCCTGTGAATATGCTTAAGGCAACCATATATAAAATGTTATCTTTTTGGCAGGTTCGCATTTGGGAGACAGATCAAAATATGATCACTGCCAACAATACAATTGTGCCTATTGGACAGAAACTCGAGGTCTTCATCAACACACTGACGCCCGGTAAGAGCTACAATATGCGTGTGCTTGCCTACAGCAATGGCGGCGATGGACGCATGTCCAGTCCCACTCTGCGCTTCCAAATGGGCAAGACAACACGCAATGCAGCGAATACGCGACACGGCCACAACATCAATACCGCGCTGATCATGAGCGTGTTATTGTTTATCACAACCTTTTTTTATACCAACGCCAATAATTAGTAATAAGGTAATATGAAATCAAACCGTCCGAGTTTTTTGGCAAAGCGTACAGCTTTACAAAATACACACAAACTCAAGAGTCTCGTTTAGATATAAATCAGCAAACATTCCGTCTACTAGCGAAACCTCAGCGAATTGAACACATGCGAAACAAATAAGAAAGTGACCTTAAATATATAAAAAATAAGTAGAGCATATGAATTGAAAGCAATGTAAGCACACAAATCTTTTATAGTTATAACATATGTATATGTATGTTTCATTTTGAAATTACCAACGAAAGTTTTATAATTAGCATAAGCACAAAGCTGTCTACCCATTTTACGACCTTATCTGTGTTTGTTCGTCCTTGTTTATGATTTTTTAAGCATACACTTATACAATGTATTGATTGAATGTAATTGTGTCCATTATACAAATATTTGAACAGCTATTTTATAATAAAATTAAAATCAATTCTAAAATAATAGTACTGAAGACAGCAATTTGAAATGTTGGAGCGCTCAGTGCAGGTCGATTGCTGTGCAGTCGCTGTTATCGATTGCTCATCGATAAAGCAACTCTGAAATTTTAAACAGCTGATCGCATCGGCAATTCCATATGTATTTTTATACATATATGTGTGTGCGGAGAAACCAATGATGATGGCTCATAGGAAAATTCAGTGAAAACGCAAGAGCAACGAAACGCAAGTTAATATAAAATGCTTTTATAACGGCACATGTGACAGTCAGAAATAAGCTCCATCCACTCAAAAGACGCTCGCTCTTAGTAAAGCTAAAGGATTCAGCAACCGAAACAAAATGGAAATGGCAAAAGCAAACGGTTGGGCGGTTGTTTGTACCAGCACCAATACAAGCACTGTTCCCATATATTCAAAATATACGCGCTGCACGGAACTGCGGCGTGTCGATGACAACGACATCTACAAGTTGGCCACAATTCTCGATGTGAACGGCTGCTGGCGCAAGCTAATGTCCATCATACCGAAGCGCCTGGATGCGCAGGCCTGCAGCGCACCGGGTGCGCTCAACTATCAAGAAATCGCTGCCAAGGTGGGACTTAAATATACCGCCCAACAAATAAGTCTGATTGATGGCACCGCAGAACGCTTAACGCCCGGTCAAAGCATATCACAGGTAATGATCGATGAGTGGAAAACCTCAGGCAAGCTAAACGAACGCCCCACAGTGGGTGTGTTGCTGCAATTGCTCGTGCATGCCGAGATCTACAGCGCTGCCGATTTTGTGGCATTGCATTTCCTGAATGGTAAGTAGCGTGAGCAATATTTTAATTTGCGCATATCTAACATGTTTTACTTTGTTTTAGAGCCGAAACCAGATCGTCCCACCGATGGACCTGCAGCGCACATCAGCTTGGATTTGTGCAGTGAAGATCTCAGCGAGGACATGGACGTGGAGGACGGTGCCAGCTACCAGCCGAACACATCCGCATTGAATGCAGCCGCTGAACAAGCCCGTGGTACTGGCATGAATCTGGATTACTTCGATAAGCATATGGTTAGACGTGACAAGAGCGTGCCGCAGCAGCTTGAAAATGGCACATCCAGCACAGTGCCCGTACCTCCACCACGAGCCGCACGATCCTCGCGTCTGCTGAAAGCCACGGCCAGCAATGTCGCGCCCACAACTGCAAGCAATGGCCCATCTGCCTCAAACACAGCCAACGTGCCCAATCTATCAATTCTCAATGCAAGCAGCAAAAAGCTGGCGTCTTCAAGCGAACAAACACTCCAGCCGCAAAATATACCACACCTATCCATACTCAATGGCAGCTCCGAGGCAGTATTAATGGCAACAACATCCACGACGCTGGATGCTGACAAATCGGACATCGGCCGCAATGGCCGCAGCAGTGCAAGCACATCAACAGCGACCATACCAAATGTGCCATTGATAACGCTTTTAATTGAAAATTCCAGCTGCGAGATAAGCGACGCATCTGATGCGACAGCAATAACATCAAAATCGACCGCTACGAAAACAGTACCAGATATGAGCACAGCTAGCTACAATAATTTGCCAGCGATAAGCGCATTAAATTTGAATACTGCCAGCGGGGCTGGGGAGCTGGATCGCAATGGAGTCAAGGCTCGCGGCGATAATGCGGACAACAACAGCAGCGGCACAAATAGCCTGAGTAATGTTGACGACGAACAAGAAGAAGACGACGATGACGATGACGATGATGATGTGGTGGATGTGGATGACGAAGAGGCAGATGTGTCACTACCAAATCTGAGCAATTCCGATCATCAGACCTCTAATAATGACTCCAGTCTGACAACAGTTACCTGTACCAGCGGCGAGAATAGCTTTGAGTTTACCAACGATTCCAGTTCGGCCTCCAATGATGATTACACCAACAACATTCCGAATCTGAGTGAACTCCAGCAGTAGAGTAACCGTCCACTAATACGCACTAGTTTACTTTTTGCAAGCCACACCCACGCACACACACATTCCGTTAAGCACTAAAATAGTGGCCGTTAATGGATGTGGTTTGTTATACTAATGATATAGCTATAGAGTAATGTATATAATGTCCGCATAAGAAAAATTCTAAAGCAAGTTGTTAACTGCCTATTTTAACATATCGCTTTAAATCAGACACAGCTTCCATGACACCCAATGGAATGTTATATATTCATTTGACGTAAAATATTACTTATTTGCATTTGTTTTTATCATCAAACTAAAGCACAAGTCAAGCAATCAATCAAAGCAAGTTTTGTATTAAAACAATTTTACAAAAAATATACATTTATAACACTGAAGAATGGTTTTCATAATCTCCGCCATTGATTTCATAATGGATTATGGAATATACCTTATTCCGCTGCTACCACTCTTGATAGCACTGAGGATTTCAAAAAATCATCAGGATACCCTTAGCTATGATCAACCGAGGAACTACAAAACAATTTGAAATTGACAGCAATATGTCAGTCGCGCTCAAACAAAAAAACGGAAATTCAAACTCATCGATTTATCGACCACAGCGAATGCAACTCTGTGTACGCGACACATCAACAACAATTGCGCATCTCTAATTTAGACCCTGGACTTGTATATTTTGTTACTGGTTTTTCTTGAATTTTTCAAAATTTTTCGCAACATGGATGAGTCGGAACTGCTCTTCAATTTGTTCTACTTCCTATTGTGCATGTGCGTCATTTATCCGCCCGAGGAATTTCAGCGTCTGGGCTTTACAATCGAGCAGGTGTTCTCCCGATTCCTGGGAGAGGAATATCGTGATTTTGTTGGCTACCATTTGCGCCGCACATCACTCAATCTCTTCGTACACAGCTGCCTGCCCGTCACCTATTTCCTCATACACAGATTGAAGTTTTCAGTTTTTGCCACACAACAACCGCTCGAAGATAATGAGCTTGACCCGGATTTTCCCATGCCACAGGAGGCAGTGGCTTTTAAAACACTCACCTGGAAAATGGCGCAACGCTTCAGCGTGCTGGCTGTATTAGCCGTGCCGGCTCTGATCTTCAATTGGCATCAGCAAAACTGGCGCCGACATCCCATAAACAAAACACTGGCCAAATACTCGAATACTCCAGGCAGTTACAGCGTCGTAGCCAGCGATATTGGCACCGAGTTCCGTCGCCAGGATATTTACAAAAAGAAACTCAACTCCATTAGCATGGTGATTGCCACAGAGAACTGGATTATCAAAACAACCATGTATAATGTCAACTTTGCTCACCAAGCCAACACTTCACTTAGCGTTGCCAAGGTATGTACCGGCTGCTGCCTAAATTTCTATAATTTTTAGATAACTAAAAAACTTTTTTGAAGGCGGAAACTTACAATATATCGCACCACGATCAGAACGATACCTTGCAAATGATTAGCATTGTTGTGCGACCGATGCGTCAAGGCGTTTCTGATTTTAACATTCGCATCAATGCATTGGAATTCCGTAGTTTGGAGGATCGCCTAAGACGTCCTATTACCATACCCTCTAACATACAATTCCATCGAAGCGTCATCGATCGCTTTGTGGATGTATTCAAAACGCAGGTGGCACTCAATCCAATCTTTAGCTCGGAGCCCATTACAGACAAGTGCTTTGCCTGCATGCTAGCCGAGCCCAACATCAAGATAAACAAGCAATGCTCCGATTTGAATCGGGCAGGCGCGCCTCTAACAGATGAGGCATGCTGCTCCAATTGCTATTGTCGGCCCATGTGGTGTGTGGAGTGCTTGGCGCGCTGGTTTGCAGCCCGCCAGAGTGACATCGATCGCGAGGTATGGCTAGAACAGAAGTGCACATGTCCCATGTGTCGTGCCAAATTCTGTGTGCTAGATGTGAGCTATATAAGAGCGACAGTGGCGACCAACGAGAACGACGATGATGCCTCATGATTCAGTTAAATGAATTAAACGTTTAAGGAAAATGAACCTTATGCTTTATTTGATTATGTTTTAAGCATTGAATTTTTACTAAAGTTAAGACAAATATACATATGTATATATATACTATTGTAATGTGTATAGTTAACGATATGCATATGCGATTTAGTGCAATTATCACGTTTTAATACTTGTACAATCTAAGCAAGAAAGAGATAATAATGTTCATACATTTACTTTATATATGTAAGTACAATCGATCTATATATATGTGTTTATATATATTTAGAGAATGTCTAAGCTAGCGCCCAATCTGTTCTATACTCTACTAAAACTAAATAGCAGAAAACTAAACAAATCCACACAAAATAATCTTTATCAAGCAGCCTGCGCAAAAAATTAGTCTTCTGTGTTGTTGCAGTTATTGTTTGTTTTTTTCGTTGTGTTCTTTTGTTTTTTTTTTTTTGTTGCGAATTTTGCACATTTATATAGTCCACACGTTGTGCAATAAACTCTTAGGTTGATTTAATAAAGCGTAATACAAATGTTATACATATAGTGCACATATATGTTTATACATATATATATATATATTTAAAGGCTTTATATATATACGTAAATGCATGCATATGTCAGAATGTATATAGCCCCCGGCACTATCTATAAATTTGTTTCGTAAAAACTTTTATAGCTCTCCGTTTTGTCACGTTGACTCCGCACCGATGATGTTCCTGTTGTTGTCGCTGCACTGCCGCCAGTCGTAGTATTTGTATTATAGGAGCAGGATGATTTGGACATGGCGCTGGTTGTATTGCGCGCTGAGATCTGCAATATAAGAGTTATAATAAATTTAACATCAAGTCAACCACTCTTTAAACATTATCAGCTACAATTTGAGGCCTATTTAGATTAGGGCTTCATTTGGCTGCCAGCAATCAGAGACACTGACTTTCAAAAAGTAATCAAAAGACATGTTCCAAAGTCATATTTTTGATTTAGCACCTGATTTTAATCAAATACATGCTATCGACATGCACTAAATACATACGAATATGTATATATACATGTATATATATATATGTATATACAAGTATAATTCTCTGCTGGAGCTGTTTTTTGACAAGTGGCGGCAACACAACAGTCGAAGCGTGCACAACCACTTACCTGTATGGTATATGTACGTACGTACATATATAGGTGTTTTTCCCTATATGTATAACAATAAAAGCACAAAAAACCGTTTGTCTTTGTTGCTGTTGTTGTTGCTTTTGCTATTGTTGTTGCTTGATAAGGTTTTTGCGCTGTTAAAACGCAAAGAAGAAAATTTTGCAATATCTGATATAGGCGTACATACAATATTGTTTGAGTGCTTTAGTTAGTGAAACCTTGGTCATAATTCATGCTTCGCTATCGTAGTATATAAACACGGATATATAGACCAGACAGGGGCTTTACTTTGTTATACTTTAAGCCAAGACCACGTCACGAGATCTATAAATACTGGTTAGTTTTTGGCGCAGAGAAACTGTTAAAAACTGGTCTTGTTCTATTTTAAAGGTAAACAACGAAATTCTTGGAAAGTTTTGCTTGAAATCCTTGCTTAAATTTGCACAGCTTGAAAATTGTTGTGGGGAGTTTGTTTGTTGCCTTAAATTATGCATACGACATGTGGTACGACAACCAGAAACATGACCAATCTGAAATTGCTTTAACTGGTATAATAAAACAATGCGATATATTTGTTTTCGTTTCCCAATAACATTAGCCAAGTTCAATGCACAGACGACAATGACGCGGCAACCACCGCGTGGCTGTTGACAATCGATCGGTCACTGCATTTGTTGCGTAACAAAGCAGAAAGGAACACACCCTCACCACCCAGCTCTGAGCTCCCAGCTCCTCCCCCCTACAGGTCGTGTCTTGGCATTACCCCTTCTCCACTGACTGACCGGATGGCTGGCTGGCTGGCCGGTTGAGTTTGCCAAATTTAACAAGATTCGCGTGCCGTCGAATACAACTTTTGCATGTGGCCCCGGCGACGTATTCGGTTTCGTTGTTTGCCCTGTAGATAGTTGCATATATTTATAAACGAAATTCGAATGTGTATTATATGACAATATGCTAAATTTTGGCCGGTTTACTCATCTTACGGTGGCGCCAAACAAATACAGGTGTATCAAATTTCCAGAAAGGTGTGTTTGTCGGTCGCTGTCTCTACATATATATGTACATAAATGTACGTATATATATATATATTTTTGTACATATGCATAAAAAACACATTGATCTTACTTATTTTGGCTTGCACACAAGTGAGTTCTGTTCTGTTTTTTGTTTACTTTATATACTTATTTTTAATAATTTTTTATTACCTTTGCAGCCATTTTGCAAAAGCACATATAAAAAGTAATATATTTCTACTTTTTCTTATGCTTCAAAAGTAAACAACCCTTAGAACTGAGAAAATGTCAAGTTCCAAGATCTGCGACGCAGATACTTCGTATAAATGGAAAATTGCAGTCAAGGCTATGAATTTGATAGCAGCAAAAGTACCCTGTATAATCTTATCTGTTTTTTTATAGTAGCCAAATTGCAAGCAAGAGGATTTTGCACTAGTTACGCCATATCTATAAGTGACTTTGGTTTAGGCCATGTGAAGTTGGGATACGTTATTATAGGGCCAATAAGGCTAGATACTAAGAGAGCTCGTGTCTGATTTATATTTAAGCTTGGCAACCTTTTAACTTGTGTTCATAAACGAGTTTAAGCTTCATATATATATTTTTTTTATACGAGCAACACTTCTCCCAATTGCTTTTATTACGAATGACTAACGTTAAGAGGTTTTTGTATAAATATTTCACAATTGTATCTCTACTTTTGGCCTTAAGTGTACGATGCACGTAAAGCACTTGTTAATTTTTGCATATACCGCAGGAAAAAGTGAAAATTTGTCATCAATTGGAATACAGAATACAGATTCCTGTGGCTTTCGCAAATCACATTGAGTGATATATATATATATATATATATATAGGGAGAGCATAGCCCATAATCATCATCATAGAGCTGACTGCACGCCGTCTTATCATAATAATACAACTTCCGTTTATTATTAATGAGCATTTCCGTTTTTTCCATTTTTTTCTGTTTTTTTTTTTCTGTTATTGCTGTTGTTGTTTGTTCAATTCACATGAAAAAGAGACAGCAAAACTTATATCTGACGTTTGGACTTTCGAGCCAAAAGACCCTTAAGCCTCACGACGTTGCTAGATTAGTATACATACATATACATATACGTATATATATATATATATAAATCACGTTAACTTGCACGCACACAATTTACAATATTGATCGCGATATTGTTGTCGTTGATATATATATGTATAAATATATAGTCTATTTTTGAAGTGGCTGCTGATAAGCAATGAAATGAAAATGAAAATGAAAATGGGCCACTACGAAACTGGGCTAAAAGGATCACTGAACGCACCTTATCATTTTCCTTGCCATCGAACAGTTTCCCATCGACCACATCCCGTTTCTTGTTCTTCGACCTGAAGCGGCCCGAGCGTGATATTGTGAAATTGCGCCATTGATGCGAGTATTGATCGCAGCGCTTCTCCTCCTCATTCAAGATGCTGTCCAGATAGTGCATGGTCGGCTCATGGGCGGCGGTCATGGTGTTGCTCATGTTGCTCAAGGATCTTGGATATCTGCTGTTGCTGGTCGCCGGTTCAATGATGATTGGCTGCTGCACCTTTTTCAATGACAATCGTTAATCGTGGCCAGTTGCAGTTGCGACAACTCGATTTGGTATCAGTTCATTTCGTTTATTTTGTTAGAATGCCGAGAAACTCGCAACTAATACCGACTACCGTACTATACAATATGTATAAGCGTATATCTACATATGTTTTCTTTGAACTTTTTTCGTATTCTTTGCTGCCGCTTTTATCAGAGCAACGCGTCGCTGCCGATGCGTGTTGGTCGCCGGTGCCCGTCTGACTGCGGAGTTGCCGACTCAACGTTGTTATTAACCGTAGTCGCTGTCGTCGCACACAAGTGACAACGGCGACAGCAACAACAGCAGCAGCAGCAGCGGCAGCAGAAGCAATAACAACGACAACGACAACAGCAACAACAACAACAACAATACAGAGTCGAGAAGCAGACTCCCAGCTCCAGCTCCAGCGATTCGTTACGTTATGAGTGCGCCCGCCTTTGGCCCCCAACGGACGTTCAGTCACAAAGAACAAACGCAACCCGTTGGAGTTGTTGCTGTTGTCGCTGTTGTTGCTGTTGTTGTTGCTGGTGTGACGGCAGCGAAAGAAAGCAGCAAGAAATCTTTCAACTGCGGTGAACGCAAGAGCGTGTGATTGCTCCTGAAAAGCCAAACAGGTGGGCTACACACTCGCACACTATACACACACACACACACACACACACGCACTCGTTCACATACACACTCACACAGTTGCATATATAAATCACCTGTGTGCGAATTTGGCCCTGTATTGGTTGTGCTTCATGACTTCATGTTCAACAGACGCAGTCTTCCAGACTGCCTCAATGCGCTGCAATTAATAAAATATGACTATTTTAAAATATTTATATTTATATTATTATTAAATATCTTTGTCGATATGCATATAGTGCATATGGTAATACCTATAAGTCCCGAATTTCGTTAAGACACCTTTAAAAACAAAAAAAATCGAATACGAAAATCTTATGATATATGTATATGATATCGTAATACAATCCGGCCGAATCCGAAATGTGTACCGTCTGTTTGGGTTTGGGTTAATCTGACAGAGAAGGACAGCTATTTGGGCAACTTTGAGCGAGAGCAGTATAGAAACAGTTAGATCTAACTGAATCTTAAAACTTAAAACAAATTAAAATACAAAAAACTAGTTGAAAATATGCCTAAGAAATCTATTTGTGCCTTACCGATGTATAACTATATAGATTAGAGCGCACTGCAAAAGTCGCCATTGCCTGATAGAAGTTTGCGTTTGTTATACATATGTATTCTCTATATGTAGACACACAGATATCATCTAGCAGCTCGTGTGTTGTCGATGATAAGCGCAAATAGACAAAACAAACACTCGAGTCGCTAACAATTATAAATGATTAGATCGCTTTTTGGAGCATTCACTTTGTCCGGGTCTTTAACTGTAACTTTTGTGTACATATGATAGATGGGATGATGTTGCGGCTCTTGTGCAGCACCTTCAAGCCATGTTTAACTATGCACATACACACACACACACAGACAGACTAGTAAGTGCTGCCGGGGCGGTCAGTCACAAAGCGGGTTCATTATCTTGATGACTCAGGCCGAGCGGCTTACAGGCCGAGTGCTTTAAAATAAAGAAATTATTCACACTTTCATGCTGCGATTGCAGTGGGAACAGTCGCGGCGAGCCTATCTAATCTGGCCAAGTCAAATACGTATTTTGCACTTTGGGGCATGAATCTTAAGTACACAGTGAATTAATATTGGCATCATTATAAACCCACCCACAGCCAAGGGTTTTGGTTTTATTTACATAGGCAATTTTGTAGTATTTGTAGTTTACACAATGTTAACATAAATTCAATTCTGTGGAAGCATATATGCATAATATGTGTTATAATTAGTTATTTATATATATATTTAATAGCTAAATGGACAGTGCAAATTTGATTTCTCTCATATTTTATTGATAACATAAAATTTGACCAACCAATATGCGGCTGACTTAATCGTTCCTTCCTGAAGGGCTTCATCTCGCAAGATTTAACATTGAATTTGGCTCGCATGTACGCATGCGCATTTTTTTTTTTTGATTTTCGGAGTTTTTGGTGACCTGTGCCCCGTGTTTTTGAGTGGTTAACAAAATGAACTTAAACCAAAACTGAACTAGTTGAACAATAAGTATATAGCTATATATCAATTGAATTTCAATTGAGTGTCCATTTGCATCTAAACAACGCTGTCCACACCATTGACCTCATGCTCCCTTTCCCGCTCGCGGTCGCGAGCAGCACGGTCCCGAGCAGCTGCCGCAGCAGCAACCAGGCGGGGCATCGCCAGCACTGGCTGTTGCTGTGGCTGCTGCTGCTGTTGTTGCTGCTGCTGTTGCAGGATATGACGAGCCCCACCAATACCAGCGGCACCAGCGTTGTTATTGTTGCGATGCATAAAATTGCGTATGTTCTCTTCCGTATAGTCGACAATACGACGTTTCTTGCGACGCGCATATTGCTTCTGTTTTAAATAGATTTTCAACATGCCCTTCACAGTGATGAAGGTTAAACCGCCGAGTAGTGTGCGATGCAGTGTGTTCTCCACGGAATCGAACAATATGCGACCCACAATGCATGAAATTGTTGGCAGCAGCAGAGCTCCGCAAAATATGCGAGTTGCCGAAACTGGATCCGAAAGTGCCGGCGTGGCCGGATTTGAAGAAGTCGGCAGTTCTTCCTCCTGCTGATTACTGCAAACGAAAATAACTTAAACTGAAGCAACTAACAGGTAGATTGAGAAACTTACAGGTCTGGGTATATAAAGTTCACAAAGGGAAACTTGCGCATGACGGTGCCGCGATTGCGTATCAAACGCAACAATGCATCTTCCCAACGAATTAGCCGACCAAGTACCAGGCCAACTGGTATGGCAGGCAGGCCAATTAGTAGTATGAGCGGATCACCGGATTCCATTATAGACATGCCATGCTCGTGACCAACAATCTGCATGAACATCGTTATGACATTATATGTAGCTTTCGCCTGATGGGCTCACCTGGAGGAAAGTCACAGCGCCATAAGTCACAGCTGTCCAGTACAGCGAACCGACAAAGAAGCCCGCTGCCAGAAACGGACTCAGACGCTTGACCAGATTGTCCATGGCTTCCAAGGCACCGCCCAGTTTGCCCATTTGCGGGAATACAATGATGTATTCGGTTTGACATTGCGGGCAGGATACAGAGCGAAGCGCATTACCCTTCTGTGTCTTCTCATCGATCCAGCGATATAGGCAGCTCTGATGAACCCACTTTGTTGTGCCACGACACTGGCAGGGCTGCACCCAGGCCGCCAAGCGATTGTCCTCGTCCGTCGCAAAGCAAATCCAACAGCACCGTTCCGTGTCCACGTTGAACGAATCCCTCGCTGTTGCTGCAGCAGCTGCCGACGTGCGCCTCTCTGCCTCATCTGTTTCGGCAATTGTCGACTTTGATGTGGTCGGCAATGGCTCCAATGTGACCGTTGTGTGATCTAGCGCTGATGAAATTTCATTACCGGCCTCTGTTTCGGTTGCAGCGTCGGCAGTGGGCGCTGCTGCTTTATCATCCATATCGCTGCAAATGGCACCGTATATAGATGGATTTATGTACGTTTGTCTTGGCATTTGGAATTTGAACGCGGTTAACTTACTCGGAAATTTGAAAGTCACTCGATTAGGTCTGTTTCCTTTACAGCCCAAGAATAAAACTTAATTTTCAACTTTTTCTATTCAACTCTATCTGAAACTAAAATATATGTGAACTAGAGATGGGCACGTGACTTTTATTTGTTTACTCCAATCCCACTCACGTGTAAGGAATGGTGTACATTTTTATATATGACATCTCTTGAAACCGAAATTTAAGTTGTTGAAAATTGGCTTGCAAAATTAAATCGAAGTGTTTTGCTTGCTACACCAACATATATTTTTGCTGTTAAAAGTGTAGAATTACGTGGTAAAATACCGCATGCGGCCATGTACTAAAAAATACAATACATTCCAATAGAGATGTGTAATTAGAGATTAATATCGAGCAACAGCTTATCGATAACTATACCGTACACTACAAACAGCATATGAACTTGTGTCGTCCAATGCCATTCTGTGCCATTTCTGCTTTGCCATTTAGGGATATTTCGGCTGCCCACACTAACAGCGTATATACATAAATCATTTATGCCTATTACTGCAAATGCCAGTAAGGTTTTAATTTAGCAAATATATAATAACATTACAAACAAAGCCCCGGTGTGTAGATAAGTATTAATGAACCCCGTTGACTTCGCGGACTGCTAATCCGGCCACGGCATTTGCTGCTAGTCCAGTTCACTGTTAGCGTTTTGTCGCTGTCGCTGTGGTCTGCTTTGCACCTCATCCTCTTCATCGAAACCCTGCATTAGCTGATTGAAGATGTCGCCAAACATGCCACCAAGCCCGGAGGGACCAGCATGCACCTGCTCCGGTTGCTCATCAAAGTATATGACACCAATCTTCGTTAGGTATTTGTGAAAGGAAGCGTCTCGCTTCAGGGAAGGATCGTACAGCTTGCGCAGAGCACGAAAGCCCATCACGCTCTTCGTATCGATAAGTCGAAACAAGAAGTACAGGAAATTGATCAATGGCTCCTTGTATGGAAACTCGTGCCTCAGTATTTTTGGATGGTATCGTGTATACTCGCTAAACATCTCATTTGCCGTTTTGCGATCCTTCAATGATAGCTGCTGCAGCACCGCTTGCACCAAAAACAAATCGACTTCTTTGTGGAAGCCCTTGCTCTGGCTTATTTCAATCAGCACGCGCCCGCATAGGCTACCATCCTGGCAGAGCAAATAGTGGTGGCGTGCTGACTCAATGTTTCCCTCTGTCCAGAACACGTGCGCAATAAGCTTGTGCAAGACCGGGTGACCGAACTGACCGTGCACAGTGGTGCTCCATTTCACAACGCGATGCTAATGTAAAAAAACAAAACATATAAGAAAAAGTTGAACAAATTGAATAACTTTAACATACGATCAGTGTCTCGCGCTCCACTGTAGTTGCGCTCAATCCACGTATTAATGCACCAAAGCGAGGCACCCATTCGAAATTGTCCGCGTCATCCGGTCGCGGGCCACGCTTCTCCAGGGTATCTACTAGCAATAAACACAAATCCGCAGCGCTGCCCTCCTGCTCCTTCTCGATTAGTTTCTGTGCACCGTCGAATAGCAAATCTAAGCAGTCCTGGTAACGTTTCTGGGCAGTATAACGAAAATATAACGTTCGATACATCATGTGTGCTTCATAAAACTCTCCCTCCGCCAACGAATGGGATAACTTTGCAAGTACGCGACTGACACCCCGTTGATTGGCAGTTGAGCTGCTGCTGCTGCTGCCGCTGCCAACAGGTCTTTCGGCATCGGCCGTTGTCATATTGTTGCTTAATGTTGGGAGTGCAGCAGTTTTTAGAAATGTACGTATGTATGTTGACGGAGGATGATTCTAAATTTTCCTCAATAATATAAGATTATTTATGGATACTTTATCGCCAGACAAACGATTGTTATCGATAGCTGAAAAAAGATGTGCGGCCACACTAACGATAATTTGCCGTTCACCCAAACAAAGAAATCGGAGCAGCTGAAATTGCAGCAACAAAAACCACAACAAAACAAAACAATTGCAAAAAATTTAACCCAATGGAAAGTGATGGAGCGCAAAAAAATGCAAATGCTGTTGTTGCAGTTAGCGGCGTAGCACCCACCCCGCACACTTTCCCATCCAATAAATGGGTAAAATTAAATGTGGGTGGAAAAATTTATACAACAACAATTGATACGCTCGTTGGCCGTGAACCGGACTCAATGCTAGCGAGAATGTTTCTACAGGATGGTGGCATGATGCCCAGTGAAAGGGACGAGCAGGGCGCGTACTTGATCGATCGAAGTGCTCGCTATTTCGAGCCGATCATTAATTATTTGCGTCACGGCGAATTTGTGTGCGACAATCACATCAGTTTAAAAGGCGTTTTGGAGGAGGCGCGTTTCTTTGGCATTTACTCGTTGGTCACACACTTGGAGGAGCGACTGGGCGAGCAGGAGCAGCTCGACGATAGACCACTGACGCGCATGGACGTCATAAAAGCCATCATACAGACATCTGCGATTACGGAACTGCGTTTCCAGGGTGTCAATCTAGCCGGAGCCGATCTGCGCAAATTGGACTTCCGAAACATTAATTTTAAGGTGCGCAGTGCTCTTGATATTAAACTACTATCTATACTGACTATTTTATCTTCATTATTAGTATGCAAACATGTCGCGCTGCAATTTATCGCACACAAATCTAAACTACTGCTGCCTGGAGCGTGCGGATCTTCAGTATGCGAATCTGGAATGCGCTCAGTTAGTTTCAGTGCGTGGACTTTGTGCCAACATGGTAAATATTTCCTCAGTGTATGCTAGAGATGTGCGCGTGTCGGAATTGACCAACACTATACGAACATGAATCCTCATTAGGAAACACGTACGAAATACGCCTGGTCAATTTTATTCCTAAAGTTCTTTCATTTTTAGGAGGGCGCCAATTTACGGGGCTGCAATTTTGAGGATCCAACAGGTGTGCGCACCAATTTGGAGGGTGTGAATCTGAAGGGTGCCTGCCTGGAGAGCAGTAATATGGCCGGTGTCAATTTGCGCGTAGCAAATCTTAAAAATGCAAATATGAAAAATTGTAATTTACGCGCCGCTGTGCTGGCCGGTGCCGATCTGGAACGTTGCAATCTATCAGGCAGCGATTTACAGGAGGCCAATTTGCGAGGTGCTAACCTTAAGGATGCTGAACTGACGCTGATGGTTACGCCTCTACATATGTCGCAGGCCATTCGATGATCTGAACATACCTTTACAAACTAAAGGGACATCACCATGTGCAATTATTAAAATTATATTTTCGGTTCTAGTATGTAATGTTTGGGAAAAATGCAGTCTTAATATAATTTTTGTAAATACCCAATTTGGACTAGACGTAGACGGTTGAATATAACAGTATTAAATACAACTGGAAACAACTCATTGTGTTGCAGCACATTTTTAAAAGAAATAATATTTAAAAGAATTAATGTCAACTATATTCGCGGGTTTTATTTGAGTAACCCATCCTTGTCACACTCATACTCACCAATTATTCAAAGTAGACATATCGATAAATATATCGTTAGAGACGTGAAAAGAACCGGCTCATGAATTGAGTCCAATCAGTAGCTCTTTTTGTGCTCCCAACCCAACACTAGAGGCTAGTTAGAAGATTTGATCAGTTTTTCAGAAATATCATGTTGAAAACGTGTCACTTAATTGTGGCACTTACCGCCATATACCTATTAATTGCAACGCAATGTGTGGACGCCGACAGAAAGCAGAGCAAAAAGTACAGCAAAGAGGCAAACAGCCCGCATTTCAAGCAGGTCGCAGAGGAAAAGTATGAGCCGGAAATTCGGAATCTCCAGCGACCATTTCGCATGGCTAAATTGAATCTGATTTGGTCAAAGGCACAAAACGCAAGTTTTTCTTTTTTGTTTATGACGTTCAAATTGTATTAATATTTATACTATGCATTTTAGCGTTTGACTGAAAGCAAAATAAAGTCTTTGTACATGGAGCTTAAAATACACGATAAGGAGGAGATTGCATGGAAGCAGCTCAACTCGCAGCACAAGGACAAGGATGGTCTGAAGGCCAATGAGTTGCGCCAGAAGCTGATTGGAATAATGAGCAGCTACGATTTGCTGGAACACTTTGAAGATACCCAGGATGCGGAAAAAATAAAGCCCTTTAAAGTACGGACAATGCTTAACGACTCAGTGCAACAGATTATTATAATTGTTTTGCTTTACACAGAAATTCCACGATCCCGAGGAAAGGCACAAAAATAAAAGTCTATTTAAGGACAAGAAACTAAACCGTTTGTGGGAGAAAGCAGAAATATCCGGTTTCACGGCGGAAGAGCTAAAATCCCTTAAGCAAGAATTTGAGCATCATCAGGACAAAGTGGATGTGTATTATAGCTTACTGGAAAACATTGGCACCTTGGATACTGATAAGCATGAGAGTAAGTTAACGTTTACTATAAAGCCAAGACAGCTGTCTGAGTCTTTATATCTTAATAATGCCCATAGATGCTATCAACACCGAAGATCTGGATAGCTACAATCTCATTTCCAATGATCCCAACGATAATGAGATTAAAACACATGAACAAAATGTAAAAAAGTTTGAAAGTGACATGAATGCTTTGCGTGGACATCATGTTGGTATAAAGGATCACTATGATCGCCTGGAGCGTTTGGTATCCTCCGGACCACATAGCCAGGACTTTATAGAGCCAAAGGTGCAGGGCTTATGGCGTGTGGCACAAGCCAACAATTTCACGGACAAGGAACTGGCGTCTCTTAAAACCGAACTGCATCATTTTGAGAGTCGCCTGCTGAAGTTACGTCATTTACATGCGGAGCATGCTCTGCACAAGGAGAAGTACAAGGTATAATTGAGAAGTGTTAATTAAGTGTGATTGGGTGATTAACAAAATCTATTTTCCACATCAGGATGAAAAGCACAAGGACAAAAGCAATCGATTTGAAGATATGGAGGAGCTACTTAAGAAACAAACTCGCAAAGTCGAAAAACTTCAGGAGAATATTGAAAATACCATATTCAAACATACTGAACTTTAACTATTTATTTGATAATAGCCGTGCCAAATGCGCAAAATGAGCAAATTAGTTGTAGACAAACACATTCATATTTTCTGAAACAATTGTTAACCTTAGCATTAAGATTTACTAACCTTTTTATACCAAAACCTATGCAGCTATTGAGCGCAACAATTGTGTTATTAAATGAATTGAAAATCTCATGAAGTTAAAATTTCTCGCTGTGTATTTACTGGAGTTGCCAGATATTTGTATTTGGTGTTGCCTGCGTGTGCATTTTTCGGGTGAATGGCAAATGGAAAAATCGTAAATAACATTGCAACTGCAGCAGCAACAGCAGCGAAAACTATGTGAAAAACAGTTGTAATTGTTAATAATTGTAAAAGTGCAATGTATTTCGTGACGTCGCATGGGAAAATAAAAGCTTGCTCTTGTTATTTCTAAACGTACATAGCGCATATGTATATATAGATGTAGGCATGGTTGAGACGACAAAATTTGGCAATCTGGAGGCCTACACATATCTGCTTGTGACGCTAAATTTAACGCTTGCGTTAATTGTAATGTTTTTCAATTGTCTGTGCTGCAAGAAAAGAATACCAAAGTAAGTAAATAGAGCCTGCAGCTATGCCCATAACCAGGCTGCTGGCCAGCCACATATTGGTCACTGCGCGAGTGAAAGTTACGTCCCAGTTCCAGTTGGATGCGCTCGCGCCAAAAACGTTAATTCACCAATTATATCTACATATGTGCATATGCATTTTACGCAGAAATGATTTGCTCGGCCTGGAGGGCATGGTGAAGCTAAAGAACCCCGACGAGGTTATTGTGGTCAGCAGCAACAATTCGAACGCAAATACGAATGCGGCAACAAATAGCAACAGCCTGGTGCACAACAGTGAGTCACAAGCAGAGCTAAATGCGTCTACGGTCTCAAATGCTGACTCAGAAAAGAGGTGGGTTGCCTGCTGTTCGCAATTCCCATGCAAATCATATTCAATTGCAATTCATTAATTGCTCCATCCCCCCGTATGACAGATCTAGCACAGCGGCGCATCGCAGCTTGCCGGACATACCCGTTGCGGAGAACAACGACAATGGCTCCGAATTGTATGAGACTGTTGCCGACAAGCAGCTGGCCAATGCGCATAATCAAAGTCGTACGTATATACACTAGGGGTTTGGCTTTATGTTGAACAGCTGGAGTATTGTAATAAATGTAAGACAATAACATGCTAATCCCCGCCCTTATCTTGCCCCCAGCAGCTCAGCCCAGTCTGAAGAAGCAAACCAGCGTATCGCAGCATAGCTCCATCAGCCAGGCGGATGATGTTAGCTCGCCGTATTCGCGCGTTAAGGGCTTGCCGCACGATTATGCCAAGGTGCGTGGCACCGAGCATCCGTATGCGCAACTCAATGCACCGTCTACCTCCACCTCTGCTGTAGCAGCAACAAATGCAAGCAATTCCAGCAGCAAAGCTGCATGTTCGCAACATGGCACCGACTCACTGCAGCGTGGCTCACAGCTCAGTGGCGAGTCGACACAGCACCTGAACGATGAATCCACTTCGCAGGTAGAAATACCGGCTGCATCGGCTATTGCGGGCATGATATCGGCCAGTCAGGACCTGCCCTATATGACGCCGCCTATTGCAAATCAACATTTTAGTGGCGACTCACAAGACTCTTCTAGTAAGTGGCCATACACTGCTTTTCAAAAACTGTATTTCACAATTGTATGTTTATGTTATCCACAGAGGGATATACGAGCATTAGCGTGCGCGAGCCGCTGGCTAATATTCTGGCACAGCAACCGCCGAGCAAACAGACGGCCAGAAAAACTACGCTGACGCGTGATGTCAATGACTCGCACTATGCAACCGTCTCAGACGATTCGGGTGAGTCGCAAAGCGATAATGTCAATTAAAGACAAGTTGATTAATTATCTTTATGTAGATGAAACCTATGCGGCTATTGAGGATCCCAACAATCGTCACATACCAAATGCCACCGATATTTATACAAGCGGTTCAGAGACCTATGCACAAATCCAGCCAATGCAGGCTAATCCCATTGTGGTAGCAGTTGAGATTAACAACAGCAGCAGCTTGTCGGCAGCAAGTGCAGCGACAGGCAGTAGCGGGCAGCTGCCGCCGCCGAATCACAGTACGGGCAGCGGATCGACGCACCGAGTAAGCAGCAGCAGCATGGAGTATGCTGGGCCCGTGCCGCATCATGTGGATAGTTTGCGCGCACAAATGCACTCGCGGCAAGCATCTTCTTCGTCGTCTGTGTGCAATTTAGGCTCGCCCAAACCGGAGAAGCGGCAGGCAAATTCTCCGTTGCCTCCTACGCCCAAAGCGAGTCTCAGCCAGTCGCAGGGGCAACATCACCTTCATTCAGCAGCAAGCAGCAGCAATCTTACATCTGGGCGCAGCTCTGTTATATCTGTAATTGAAGCCGGCGGCGAGGGCAACAACGAAGCCAACGATGCTAGCAATGCATCCCCACAGCGCAAGCACAGCAAGAGTCTAAGTCCATCCAAAGATGTTGAGGGCAGCAGAAACATCGAGGGAATGTACGCCAAGGTGAGTACTGGCTTTTTGAACTGGTGACATCACATTCATAATCTTGCCACTTTCCGTTTGCAGGTGATGAAGAAGCACAAGTTCTCCTCACACCAGCCGGAGGTACTTGGGGTCAGTCCCTTGGATAGTGCAGCAGCGGCGCTTCTAATGGATCCACTGAAGCTGACGGCATCTGGGTCTGACAAGAGTCGTGTGCGCAGCAACAGTTACACTGCCAAAGATCATGGATACGAGACGATACCGGCGGATGGGCAGAAACTGACGCAAAATCAGCTACCGCACGAGAATCGCAAGTCGGATTGCTATGCCAACATTCTGCAAAAGGAGCGGCAACTGGAAGCAGGTAATAAATTCAAGCAGTCTCTTATTTTCCAGTAGAGATTAACGATATTTGTGCAGATCAAAGGTGAAACAGAAAACAAGTATACAGAAGTCAATGTAATTTATGGACTTTAAACGCAATTCATTGTCTTTAAAGCTCGAAAACCAAGAAGTCAAAAGCAAAATAATTAATGCCGTAGTTTCAAGAAAGTTTAATTTTATTTGCTGAGTGCATTGAGCTTTTTGCAATGCAATGCAAACTTGCAGCTTGCATTAACTACATTAACGCTTGCTGGAAAGCTTTCAAAAATGTTTATTAAAATTAAAGTACAAAGCTCGACTATAATTATAAGCTATGTGACTTAAAACTCATAGATTATGGCTAGAAGCTTTAAGCTGGCAAATTTGCATTGACTTATCGCAATAAATTTAACATCAGGCTTATAGGGCGACTTACTGTGGTTTTGATTTGTGGCGCTTGCTAAGTCTTAAGGCACAATATCGTTTATCTCAATCTTTTAGTTCCCAGCTACTCTGTTTAACCACCTAATATGCCCAATTAATCTCCTCTTGTTTCTCTCCTTGTGTCTTGTTTATTTATTTCTTATACTTTAACCCATGCCTTGGGTATCCACAATTTAGTTGTTTTGCCAAAATGAGAAATTTGCGCGTTTCGACAGTTTCGTCAGTTTTTGTTGGGAACTGACAGTGGTTAGTATATCAAATGGATGACGCTTTTTAGCTTGGCATGCATCATAAGACTTTAACCTCTACTCCAAAATGTTAATGCATTTTACTAATAGCTGCCTTTGTTGTACCGGTTATAGCAGCTGTCAGTCAAACGCATCACAACAATATCAGCAGCAGCAGCAGCGTTCAGGTCAAACCTGTTGCGCCCAGCACCAGCACAAAGCACTACGAGACTATAAACTGCCCACCGTGTCAGCCGTCGAACAGCAACGATCCTGGCTATGAGCAGCTGCAGACGGCGCCCAACGATGATGATGCCAAGAAGTCCGACTATGATCCCAACTATGAGGTGTTGAAGAGTCGCGCTCATTCGGATGATGGCTATGCCAAGGTGCTGGAAAAGAAGCGTCCGCCCGGCGATGTTGTGGACAGTAGTGGTGGCTACAGCACCATACCTGGCGCCGATGCGAATCACAATTATGCCAGCATACTCGAGACTAAGGCGCATCTGGCACCGGCTGCAAACGAAACGGATCATTATGCGCGTATAGCTGAGAATGTGGCGCTCACTTCGCCCCTCACGCCCAACTCATCCTCCATGGCGAACAGTTTGTCCATGATTACAGTGACCACCAGCACCAGCATGGTGAGCAGCATGAGCTCACATCAGACGCCTAGTTCCTCGCAGTATGAATCACTTACGGGCACGGGCAGTGAAACGGATCCCAACTACGAGTCGGTGTGTTATTTAAATGCCACAACAATGACAACAACAACAACATCTACTAACAACAGCAGCAACAACAGCAACAGCAACTGTAGCAGCAGCAGCAGTAACAACACGGATAATGGCTACGAGCGTCTGGAGTCCGATAACAATACGCAGGCGAGCAGCCCGCTGAGCACGCCCAGTGAACAGCAGCTGGTAGTGGATGATTACTTTCAGGTGTAGCTGTAACAACAGTAGCTGCAAACAGTAGTGAGCTGGATCTCGTTGAACTATATTTACAAAACGCCCACAAACACGCACACGCACACCCTAGCATTTTCTTTTGCCTAGCAATTGCTTTTATTATTATTTTTTTACTCAACGCACATATCACATTGGATGCACAGCAGCAAAATTTTTGATTAGAGTCCATGGAACCCAAGAATAACGCTGGGATGTGTTGCATGCATTGTATGCTGCTTCATATCGGTTCGCACTTTAGCCCTAGCCTAGCACTAAGTTATATAAATAACAAGAACTTCATGTACAAAGTATTTGTATGTTAAACTCGATAATTATTTCCACGCGGCAGATAAGCCTATATGCTTACACATATATATAGATAGCTATATACTATGAGTAAATCTAAATACCAGTGCGTCCTAATTTAGTTAAATTTAATGCAAGAACAAAGGCGAAAAGTTTTCAATTGATTAGAATACCGCGTTGATAAGCAGAAAGATATTAAAAACAAACAAAAAACAAAGTAAGCAAATCAAGGGGAGATTACTAAATTATAGATTGTATATTTTTATATGTTAGCATTTTTTGCTGCTTTTTTACTTTATTGATGTCGCCTGGACATACATACGGACATATGTATACCCATTCAATACGATAACACACACACATACGATAACTGGCTGACAAGCCCATGTTAAGAGTAAAAAACAAAAAAAAATCAAGTATTCGAACCACAAATAACTAAGCTAAAAGTTGAATAAATTATTGATGACTGTCAATTGTCTTGATTTTTTTTTTAAAGAAAGCTGGCATTTCATGCAATCCACTAGATTGTTCGTAAAGTTTTTTCACCCGTTATTCGCCATTTGGGGTGAATTAAAAAAAAACATCCTCGTATCTATCTTGCACAGAGGATTAAAAAAAAATTTGAAGCCAAATGAATGAAAATTAAATTTTAGTTCGGAAAACCTTGGAGACATCATTTTAACTTTCTGGTTTCCACCCGTTTCACCTGAAGGAGCCGATTTGGAAAATTGCTGCAATGCGAATCTCTAAATGGATTAAAGTTGAATTTGGCTAATAAGGCATGGAGTCCAAAATGCCCTAATTATATAGTTTCCAGTCATTTTGGGGCTGGATTTAGCAAAGAACTGCTGAATTAACTATCTATTTATTTGTAATGCAGACGTTGAATGATAAGTTTAAGTTGAAATTATCGAAAACTAAACATTCTTCCAACAAGCGTGATTATAATAATCTAAAACAGACAAATAGCAGTTTTCCAATAAATTTTCACCTTTGTTTGGAATTGTTATAAACCCAGTGCATAGATCTAACAGTGTGTTGATAACCAATGAAAAACTTTGTATATACTATATAGATTTAATAATTTATTTATTTACGTTTTACAGCAGCACGAGGGGCACAATCGAAACTACACGTGCAACTTCACGAGACTGTGTTTACATAGATACAAGTAATATTACGAGCATAAATTGCAATTGCAACGACATCGAGCACAAAAGGTATGCATATATGTATTTATATATATATGTGTATATGGGAGATTATTTGATTTAGCTAAATGCCGGATGCAGTCAGTTGGTGCCGGCAGCATGAGCGGCAGCAGCATCTAATGATGTGCCCGCCGAGTCCGTTGCGCGTGTGCTGTTCGCGATGCGAGATCGCCACACATAGTATATGAACGCACACAGCACAAACTGTAGGAATATGTATTGATAATCAAAGATCAAGCTACACCTATGAAATGTAAAGGATGAAACGCGCCCGACAAGCGCCGAAACAGCCGCTTCCACGTTTCATTCATTGTTACCATCGGCCGGCTGTGCCCCAGCCGCCACGCCTGCTGCCGCTACGGCTACTGCCACTGCCGGCTGTTGCTGTTGCTGCGGCTGCATCATTAGCATTGCCTGTGGGGGCGCTGGCAATATTTGTTGTTGCACCTGGGCTAGGAATGCAGCTGATGAAGCCGACGAGGGAGGCGGCAGCGACGGGGGCTGGCTGACAACTGGCGGTTGCTGTTGCTGGCCGGGATCTCGGTTCAGCAGCGCAATATTGCTAGCCTTCATGCGGGCTATTGAGGTGGCCAGGCCGCCTCCCATAGCCGATAGACACGGTGACATACAAGGTGTTGAGCATGATGAATTGCTGATTTCACACTGGTCAAGTAGGCGGAGAAGCTCGTTAGTGTCGGGTCCGCCAGAGGTTTTCTGCTGCGGCTCATCCTTTGCGTGCAGCGCCAGTGCTGTTGTTAAATCCCACATTTGTATTGCTCCATTGCAGTGACCGGTGAGTATAAAGCGTGAGCCCATCCGCGAGGATACCTCGCACTCGTGTACACAGAATGCCGATATGGTTGAGCCATCCACGGAGCGTATCACACATACACGATCACCGTTGGAAGCCTGTCGCACATACAACTGATTTGTCTCGGGCACCACTTTCTGGACAAAGATCATGTCATCGTAGTCGCCATAGGGTCCAAAATCATTGCCAGCCGCATAGCTGTAGTTGCTATCTGTGGCCTCCAGTGAGACAATCTTGAAGGAAGCCTCCGGCGTGGATCCCGGCTGTGTGGAGAGCATGCCACGGAAGCGTGTCAGGCTCCAGGTTCGCACATGATGATACTCGCTGCAAACTGATACCAAATACCGCTCGGACAGCATGACCTGTCAGAGCAGATGCTTGTTAAGTACATTTTTTTAAAAGAATCAAACAAGTCTTGCCTTGGTAATGGGACTTTGATGTACAAAGAATGTCTCGAAAAGATGTGGCCCATGACCGGCCGTTTCCGGATGCTGTACAATGATGCGCACGGCGCCGGATTTGGTGCCATAGGCAATCTCTATCCAGTTGCCGCTTATGCTCGACGTCTTCGGAGTTAAATAAACGGATATTGCTGTAATGGGATCCATATTGGCATCCTTATACAGCTCGGTTACCAGCAAATCGTTGTCCTTCATACGCAACGGAAACTTTTGCATATCTAGGAGCAAAAATTTTATTAAAGGGAGGGAGGAGTATCTAGGCTTGTGCGACATACCTATATAGTAAATGGAGCCATTGTTGCAGCCCAGCAGCAGAAAGGAGCCCGCCGAGTCGAAGGAAAGCACCGGCACCAGATCCTGTATTTGCCAGTGCTGTGTCATGGCATGCCAGACGCCAATTTTACCAGACGAGGACAACGCCACCAGCTGGCTGCCAATGAAGAACAAATACTCCACGCGCACATTGAGATTGAAGGTGCCAATATCCGATTTGTTGCCGCCCTCCTGAATGCTCCACAAACGTATCTGGCTGCCATACGATATGGCTATCATTTTACTTGGCATCGGCTCGGCGGTGGATGTGTTCACCTTCGAGTTGATGGCAATGCGCTCGATGGCAGCATCGATGTGTGGCGATGTGAACACCTGCTGCCAGCCATTGGAGTCCTTGACGCGATAGCAGGTGACAAAGTGCGCATATGCAACGGCAATCCAGTTCTGATGCGCCTTGATGATCTGCACGCGCAGCGGTGGCGTCCAATTCGAGCTCTGTGTGGGGCTGAACACCAGACCCACTTCGTTGCGTATCACTTTGTTCAGATCAGCCGACGAGTTGCGAGAGTGTCGCATAAAATCCAGCGAAGCGTTGCGCGAATGTCCACCAACTGGATTCCAGGCAGCTGGAGGCGCAACAGGTGCCGCATTGGAGCTCGAAGCGCTATTCGAGCCACGCCCACTGCGCAAATCCCAGGACGAATTGCGCGAGTGCGTAGAGGAGTGACGCGACGAGGCTGATGACGTCTCCGGCACGCGCACCATGGAACCAGGTCGTGCAGCAGCAGCACCATTGCCAGATGACGTAGGCAAACCGGCATATGATTCCATGGGACTGTTTGCAGCTTCCATTGTGGCCTGCAGCGCATCATTGGGCGGCATGGCTGGTGCTGTCAGAAAGCCATAGAAGAGCACATCGCCGCACGAGGAGTGATTGAGATCCTCGCACAGAGCCAGGCGCTTTGTCAGCGGCGTGATGCCATAATACTCCGCCTCATGGCGCAATGCGCGTATTTCACAATTCTTGATATCAATGTCTTTGGTCCGCAAGTAGTTTAAAATGATGGAGAAAAGCGTCGGATCGCGATCAATAAAGATGGCATTGTGCTCATCTCGCAGACTCGAGATGCGACCGCTCAGCAGGGCCGTAAAGAATGTGTCCGGTATCCATGTAAGTGTTTGCCGTGACGTCGAGAAGCTGCAAGCACATCAGGTGGGAGAGAGGGGGTGAGTGTGTATAGCATGTAGTCTATATTGTTTTTGTTTTTTTTTTTTTGCATGCGTCATCAAAGCTTATGCTAGAATTGCTCCACTCACCGTTGACCGCCCACATTGAGATTAACCAAATCGCTGCTGGCACTGTGCATAAAGTAGGACATGCCAACTATTCCACAGCCGCAGTCGCAGCGTCAACCCAATTCCGAAGTCTATTTGTGTGGCTTCGATTTGCTGCCGCGGTCGGGGCGCCGTCGTTGCTGATCCGCTGACGACTGCAACTGCAGTGACAACGACGACAACGCAGCGTCTGGCTTTGTGTGGCAACTGTTGTGCGCTGCGCTGCGCTGCTCTCAGCACTTAATATTCGTTTTAAATGAGGCGATCACTTTATTTTTGGAATTGCGTTTTCTTTATTTGCTTCAGCTGCACTGCGCTACACACAATTTGTACATATACTATTTTACGCATATATGCATATGTTTGTAAATGCGTGTAGTGAGTGTTTTTGTTGACGTTGTTGCTTATCGCTGTGAATGGCACCCGAATTTATTTTGCGCATCTGGCAGCACGGCATGCCGCTGTAACTGTAACTGAGCTGGCATTTCAAAGCACCCAGGTGGAAGGTTGTGTCTGAATTTAACTGAAGGTAGACGTAATAGTTAGGCGAGTCGGTTTGGCATACAAATATTTACTTTTACATTACATTTAAAGGAGGGTATTGATGTAATGAATAACATTTATCGACTCCCTGTCAGCTGAAACAAAAAGCAATTAATCAAAGAGCAACAAAATTTTGCAAAGTTAGGTCAGCACTCACCTGCTGGGGTCATGCCGAGGAGAACTCAACTCCTCAACTCCTCAACTTTTTGTTTGGCAAGTACTTTTATAGGAAACTTGGAAGCTAATGCTAAGGGTGGTCACGAGAAGTGCTAATTCAGCAGCTTTTTATAGTGTGTGTGTGTGTGTGTGTGTTGAAATTGTAGGGCATTAGGGCACGCAATGGAGCAGAGCGCATAAACCGCAGTTGCCGTGCCCGAAAGGAGTGGAGCTCCATCTGCGTGGATACCTCACACATGTGGAGAGAATAAACCGACAAATGATAACGACACTCGAGCAAACAACAATAAAGGAATCGAGTAAATGAAAGAAATAATGGTGGCAGAATGTGTAACAAGTAACACAAGCGCACGCACACACAAGCAGTCATATCCTGCCAGCGCTGTGCTCACCCCGTGCCCTACCACCCCACTCATACAACTCATCTGTTTGCCGAGGGGTGTGGGTGGGGGTGGGGGAGAGAAGCCCCAACAGCTAACCAAATGCGAACAAATGTTTGGCTGTGCGTGTGTGTATGTGTCTGTGCGCACAGCATATTAAAGTGAGCCAATTTTGGCGCGTGTTTTGCGCTAATTTCGTTTCGGTTTCTGGGATTTGGACGAGCTCGTCTTAAACATAAATAATATATATGTATGTATCTGCACCTGACGAAGTAAAAACGT